GGTTTCATATGCAAAAAAAATGATTGCGCTAGCTTACGTGGTTGCAGAGCTACCGGGATTTAAAAATAGTTACGCAAAACGGGGCGTGCCTGCTACGACCAGCTTTAAAGGGTTAAACACTTATCAGAAGATCAAAAGTAAAACAGTGAGAAAAGAGGAATAACAAGAACTACCCGCTCTGGATACAGTAGCAGGGGTGGCAGTGCGAAGGTGGCTGATCTCAAACACCAGCCTCATGGTGGGGTTCAAAGGGATCCGCTCATTACTGGCCAGAGTCAGCACCTAACAAGAGGGGAAAGCAGATTTTCACACACAGAAATAACAGAAATAACTTCAGTTCAGTTCATTTTTATTTCAAACATTTCAAACATGTGCCTTCACAATCATTACAAAATATTATTCCATTATTTGTTTGAAAAGGAGTCGACAGAAGTGTTTACTTATTTGTCTCTACCCCCTCAAGTTTTACCTCTCATTCCTTTAAGTTTTTCTTTTTGTGCCTGGCACACAGTCCAAGCCTCTTTTTACATGCAGACAGCGTTATTCACTCTCTCATTCAGAGAGTACAAACAGTTTACTATCCTTTCATATCAGTGATGAGTCAACCACGTTCCCTTTTCATGTCTGAATGCTCGTTTAGTGAACAACAGTCTTTTATTCTGTGTCAAACTGACATTTTCTTTAAATCAATACAAGCACACACTCGCATGTGTTTAATTCAATAGCACCTTGTTGTCATCCATGACTGTATTGAGTGACTCAATCCACATTGGGTCAATGTCTCCATCCAAAACAATCCACTTTGGTCCGCCGTGACTAATGTTGGCCAATTCGCGCATTATATTGGAGAACAGACCTGCAGGAAGGACATGAGACATTTTGGATGTTTGAGACAAGTCACTAAACACTTTGCACTGATCACATTGTATCTGTGAAGGACTCTGTAATCACCATCTTTCCACTCTCGGGTTGCTGGGTTGATGATGCCAAAGAGCTCGTCATTGGTCACAGCCTTAGGGTTGAGGTCTGCCCACACGGGCCGACGCTTCATGTTCTGATAGGTCCTGTGGAGTGATCTCATCACCTGGCTCTTCCCAGTGCCTGCATTCCCTATCACAAACACAGAGTGACGCACTGCCAGCAGTTCATCCAGCTGCACCACCTAATAGACAGACACAGTTTAACATGAGAAATTCTTTTTTGTTTATAGACACAAAGAAAACATAACACGAGGACTAAATTCCCTTACAAAATATGCAAATTTGTAGCTTTCTGTGTACCCTGTGGTGCTCAGTCTACTGCAACACCTCCTTGTTATTCTGCTATAATATATATGCAGAATGACAGGAGTGTGATGCATTGCAGTGCAGCGCAGCAGCTTAGTACACTGTTCACAGACCACGATAAATGACAGCAGTTGTTTTCAGGGAGGACAGATCTCTGCACATACTACTATGTCTGCATAATCAAAATGCCACCCAATCTATTTTACACAGCATAATCATGTGTCCTCCTCTGAAAACCAAACAATTGAATGAATTAAAAAGACATTTTAAGATAGCATTAATAAATGCAGGCACACAAATAAGCAGACAATTAAACAGAACTGATAGAGAAGGGCATTAGGTCCAAGTTTTGATGTTATTTGGATCTCCTTTGTTTCATATGCTCCACCTCGCCTCTTGTTTTATGGTGCTCAGTTTGCTAGTTTTGTGAAATCCAGAACTATTTTCTGCTGC